AGGATTGCCCAACCTTCCTTCCGAGGAGTGGCTGGTGGGTTTGAACCTCCAGCCTTCTGGTTAGCAGTCAAGTGCTTTAGCCACTATGCTACCAGAGCTCTACTTCCCTAAAAATTTACAGTCTTGGAAACTCAATGAAGGTTGCTATGAGTCAGAATCGACTTAATGGCAGTGGGTTATATAGGACTGATATTGCAAAGAAGAAATGATTTGAAGTCCCATACAGAAATTTCTTTGCTCATTACTACCTTTATCTTATCTGTCACTCAGAAATCCTCAAATCAAGATGGGCAGACTACCTATTGCTTCACAAGCCTTATAAAGAGATGCCAAATGGGGTTATGGGGGCTCTGGTGGCGTAGTGCCTAAGGCATTTGACTGCTAACCAGAAGGATGGAGGTTCAAACTCACCAGCCACTTCCTGCAAGGAAGGTTGGGCAATCTATTTCCGTAGTGATACCGCCTCAGAAACCCAAGGAGGGGTCTCTCTATGAGTCGAATCCGACTCGACTGCAGTGAGTTTGGGTTTTTTGGTTTTAATGGAGATATGCTCACAGAGCTGATGCTTGGAAAAAAGGGAAGAGGTGAATACTCACCTCAGACACTATCCCATCAGGGGTAAGCTCCTGCTTCTTTTATTCCTCTTCTCCCCCATTCTGCTGAAAATCCTACCTATCTCTCAAGACTCAGTTCTAGTTTTACCTCTTCCACAGAGATGGTCCATATTCATGTGACCCACACACTTTTTGTTAGTGGGAATAATTCCTGTGAAGTATAAAAACTCACTGCCGTCGAGTCAGATCTGACTCGCAGCAACCCCTCCTTGGGTTTCCGAGGCAGTATCACTACAGAAGTAGATTGCCCAACCTTCCTTCTGAGGAGTGGCTGATCAGTTTGAACTGCCAGCCTTCTGGTTAGCAGTCAAACGCCATAGGCACTACACTACGCCACCAGAGTTCCCCTGTATAATATAACTAAGTATATAAACACACCTCACACGTTCTTTATAATATTCTCTAGGTATACACCAATTTCTTGAGGTCCTCAAGCTTCTACCCTTTAATATATGAAACCCCACAAAGTGCTTTAAAAACATTTAAGTTAGGTATTCAGTGTGACAATGAGTCACTCAGCCCTGGCCCACTTATTAAGGTACACAAATGGCATCAGAAACCTTTCCCAGAGTCTAAAATCAAGGCTCACAAATGAAGATTCCAGATCTGTGCAAGTTCTCCAGCCATATCCAAATGTTCCCTAGCTGAATCAGAGGTGAAGACAGGAGTAGAATCTGTTTCTTCAAATGTCCAAAAGGAAGACCTTGGGGGTGTCAATTAACATTTCTAGGTACAGTCTCCCCAGCGGCTGTCAAAATCACTGACTAGAAATCTGCCTACCCGAGTCCAAGTCCCAGTTACGCTGCTTACTATGTCACTGCGTTAGCCAATCTGCCCCACGATTCCCCATCTCCAAAACAGGGATACTAATGGTGTCTATCTCATCCGGTTGGGGCTAACCTAAAGTGAGGCAATGCAGTCCATGGAAAGGGCTTAGCATAGTTCCTGCAGTAATAAGATAACAGCTTATCTACAGAATGGGTGAGTTGACTAGGTTATCCTTAAGCATGTTTCTTCCACCGCTCGTATTCCATAGTCTTAAGAGAACAGGAACCAGAATGCCAGGAAAGAGCGTCACCACTCCAGCCAAAGAGCTGCGTCTGCATCCCTTGAACAAACGACAGCTTCCAGGCAGAGCTTCTCTGCCAATTAGCGGGCAGGAAGGTAAGCGACCCGGGCCCTGCTCCTATGACTGAGCGTCTCCTTTCTCTCTCCACCTTCCCCTTCGGCTAGCAAGCATCGTTGGAGTGCCCACCGGGTACCTGGGGGCTCACATGGATGGGATGGGGCACCAGGGAGGCACTCACTTGTTCCTGCGGATCCAGTCGATGAGAGCGCGCACCTCCGGCACCTCGTCCAGGGCCGGGGGCTCGCCGGTGCGGAACTGGTCCGGGAAGCTGCGGTTAAGGTCGCGGCCACGGCTGTTGTCGCGGCCGCTGGGCCCCGGCGGGTCGCCGTCACTGAGGCCGCAGTCGCCCTCGCGGGCGCGCTCAAAGCCATCGGGGTTGAGGCTGGGCATCACGTACACGTCGGTGGTGTTGAGCAAGCGGACGAGGCGCGGGTCTCCGCGGCGGTAGCCAGCCACCAGCTCGCGGGCCAGGTAGACCAGAACCTGGCGCGATACGGTCTCGTCGCCGTGCATGTTGCCCACGAGCTTCACCTGAGGCCGGCCCGGCAGGAGCGGCCCCGCCGCATCGGGCCCCGTGTCGCCGTCAGGGGGCGGCGGCTCGAGGCCGGCCGTGAGGCGCAGCACCCACAGCGGCCGGCCCTCCACCGAGCGGCCGATACTGAAGAGGCGAGTGAGGCCCGGGGACCCCGCCGCCGCTACCTCCCTCAGCACCGAGCTCAGCTCCTCTTCGTGGTAGTAGTGGTCGAACTGGCTCTCAGCCGCCGGAGCGCCCGCGCTGGTCGTCGTCGTCGTCGCCTCCGCCTTCTTGATGTGCGCCGCCTGGACCGGGCTCCTCAGCAGCACCAGGTACAGCAGCAGCGGAAGGCGCCCCAGCCGCCAAGGCGGCCGCACGTCCCAGCCGCTCGCCATCTTCTAGCAGCGCCGCTAATCCCGGCTCCGCTCCCGCGGCTCCGCGCTCCGGGAGGCCGGGACCAGCCGGATCCTCTCCGCGCCTAGCAACCCCATCCCGCCCTCAGGCTGCAGCCAATCGCCGATGGGCCTTCTGTGGCGTCACGCCAGGGGGTGGGGCTGCTCTTAAAGCAGCCGATTCTCTCTGGGTGTGCCTTTCTCCAGTCCCGGACGGGTTTGCTCACTCTCTCTTCCTTTGCTGTGGTTATGCTAGCTGTTTTCACTACTCCCTGTTTCCTCTTATGCGTTTGCTCCGCTTCTCCTCTACTCGCTCAATTTCTTCTTTATGTCTTCTCCTCGTGAGTGCTCACCTTTTTTTCTCTGCGTACTCTGAACTAGTTCCCTTCCGTTCTTTGTTGCAGCTTTCCCCTGCTGCATTTTAACGCTTAGAACCGAAAAATCGAAAGAATCAGATGATTCGAAGGAATCAAAAGACTCGAAAAAACGTACGTTCGAAGAGTCGTAGAACGTTTTAGCCCTAACTGCTTTCCACCCTTTCCACTCGAGTCCTTGTGCCTCAGCTTGAGCCCAGCGCCTGAGCATGTGTTGAAGAGAATCGGACACTTAGAGTGGCCAAAGGACAAGGGGTCACAAGACAATCCATTCCATTTTTCAGTTGCTCTTTTGAAAGAAGGTGGCTTCTTTATGTTTAGCGGAAATCTGCAACGCAGTAGACCCCCTTTACATATTTTTTTGGTGTTACCCCAGGTTTGTTCACTGCAGCGTTCCCAGGCAGATTTTATTTCAGAGTTCACCAGCCCACCTCTTTTGTGCGAGTTACATGTTTAACTGTGGCCTTGGAATAACATTTTTTAAAAGCAGCAGGCGTGACATTTCTGGAAACTTGTGCTTGTCGAGTACAATCCCAGAACTCTCAAAGTGTCTCTCAAAGCTGGAAAATGCAGTGTTTCATCAAGTCTAAAGAGGTCATTTCCATTGGTCTTTTAAAGTAGGCTTTAGTTACATAGCTTGAAGAAACACAAAACCTCACAATCCGTTTATCAAGTGTGAAATTCTACCCATCCCACATAATTATAATAGAGGTTGTATCATCTTCCAGAACCAAGCATTTCAAGGCCCCTTCCCTGAACTATGATTGAACCCCAGTATGATTACCAAACAACTAAACCCACTGCCATGGAGTCAACTGCGACCCTATAAGACAAAATAGAGAAGTGCCCCATAAGGTTTCTAAATAGGTCTGGTGGTATAGTGCCTAAGGCATTTGACTGCTAACCAGAAGGCTGGAAGTTCACACCCACTAGCTACACCTCGGAAGGAAGGTTGGGCAATCTACTGCCCTAGTGATACCACCTCCGAAACCCAAGGAGGGATTGCTATGAGTCGGATTCGACTTGACAGCAATGAGTTTGGTTCGGTAAATCTTTACAAAAGCAGACTGCCTCATCTTTTTCTGGTGAAGTGGCTGGTGGGTTCAAACTGCCAACCTTTGAGTTAGTGGCCCAATGCTTTAACCACTGTGCCACCAGAGCTTTTTCCAGTATGACTAGTAAAAGAGGTGATTGATTCATTTATCAAATATCTGTCAAACAACTACTATATGCCAGACCTACAGCTAGGTGCTGGGAAGCAATTCATTTTTCTGCCCAGTTAGAGATTCAATATCCCCCATTGCTGTGGAGTCCATCTCAACTCAAAGCAACCCTATAGGACAGAGTAGAATTGCTCCGAGGGTTTCCAAGGCCGTAAATCTTTACAGAAGCAGACTATCACATCTTTTTCCCATAGAGTGACTGGTGGATTCAAACCACCAACTTTTCAACTAGCAGCTGAGCAGTTAACCACTGAACCACCAGGATCCTAGATTCAGTGCAGTGATAAGTGCTACAATAGATGTATGGTTGCCCAGGTGAGGGAAATCTTATTCAAACTGAGGGGGAGGAAGCATAAGGAGAGAGACTGGGGAAGAAGAAGGACTCTGGGCAGGAGGATCAAGCACAGAAGGCTACAAGACTGGAGAGCAAACACTGCATGTTCTGAAAACTGCGTGCAGATCGGGATTATTGGTGTGAAGGGGCTCTCAGGTCTACATGACAGAACACAAGCCAGGGAAGCAAGGGTAGAACCTTAAGAACCTTGCAAGCCGGGCTCCCTCGAGCATACTAAATCAAAAGAACATGGAGAAGCCCTGGTGAATTTTAAGCTAGTTTAGAAAAATCCCTCTAAATTAGGAGGGAATGGAGTGGAATGTCTAAGACCTGGCAGAGAGACCTGTAAGGAAGATATAATTCAAGAAGACATGACAGGCCTTAAACTAGGGCAGTGCCAGTGGAGATAAACCAAAAACACCAAACTCACTGCCATCGAGTCAATTCCCACGCAAACCCCCACTGGGTTTCTAAGCCTATAAATCTTTATGGAAGTAAATTGCCCAATTTTCCTTCTGTGGAGTGGCTGGTGGGTTTGAACTGCTAACCTTCTGGTTAGCAGCCAAATGCCTTATCTACTATGCCACCAGGGCTCCTTGCCAGTGGAGGTACAGAAAAAGAAATGGATTCAAAATACCTTTAGGAGGAAAACTGGACAGGATCTGGTAACAGACAGAGAGAAAAAATTGCAGGCTGGACCCACATTACAATCTAAGCAACTTGGAGGTGTTCCTGAGGTATAAAGACAGTTGCTGCCAAGTCTATCCTAACTCATAGCGTCCCCACAAGTGTCAGAGTAGAGCTGTGCTCCATAAGGTTTTCAATGGCTGAGTTTTTTTTTTTTTTTTTTTAATGTATATGGAAAGTAAGGCTTTGAGAAATTAAATAACTTGTCCAAGAACAATCGATCTTAATCTCTCTCACATACACATACCTATACACATAGAACTAGTTAACAGCAGAGCTGGAATTCAAACCCAAGGCAGTGACATTCCAAAGGACTGCTCTTACCCACTATATCACACAGCCATCTAGTGTCCTCCTATCTGCAGGAAAATAACATATAACAACTTCCTGCCCAAGAAAACTTCTAAAAGTTATACAAAACTGTACTCTTCGTTCATATTAATTTTAATTACAGGTAGTCTGGGTTATCTGCCCTTTTTCAACTTTTATAAGTTAAAAGAGGGTAATTCTTAAAAGCTGACTGAACAACACAGTTCAGTTTCATTAAATCTGCTTTGGAATAAACATTAAAACATCAGCTGATTTTTATAATGTCTTCAAAACTGTGCAGAAAGAAAAAAGAATGGTAGACAAAGGCTTACAAATCAGCACACTATAATTTAAAAAAAAAAAGGTGGCGGCCTACTTCCTGAACAAGTCCAGTTTAGGCTCTCACAGTTAAAGGCCTTAGCAGAGGAGCGTGACTATTCAGAGGGCTTATTAGGATGTTCATTCCCTAAGTGGATTCTATAGGTTTCAGACACGTTGAAAGAAGCAAGCCCTGCCCACATAGGCAGCTAGATATCCTGAGTCAACCCTGGCAGTGTAAGTGAGGGGTTGGGGTGGGCAGATCACCCTCACATCCCCCACTACCAACATACTGTCTGATCCCAGAGAGCAGGAACTGTTTGCTTTGCTCACACTGTATCCTCATTACCGAATACAATGTACAAGACGTGGCAGGTGCTCAGTAAATATTTGCTAAATGATCACATGCTCTTGCACAAGTTATGTCTTCTCTTAGGCCTTAAATTCCATTAAACAAGAGGATTCATTGATCAATATATTCACATCCAGCTCTAGAAGTCTATACTTTCTTGAGGTGGGATTCCAATATATAGCACACAGAGCATCAGTAAAATTACTCCAGGACATACAGGTTTGAATACATGCCGAGTCACAAGGTTTCACAACATCTTATTGCAGTCTGGCAGAAGATAAACAAAAAATGAACTTGCTCTGTTGAAACAACTGAAATGATCACAACCTTCTCTTCAAGGAGAAAACGCTTGGTATTTGCTGAAGTATGAAGAGAAATAAACTAGTTATAGTAGAAATAAAATATCTCTGACCACTCAGCTGAAACAGGAGAAAAGTTGATACTCATAAAAACAATAATAGCAACAGCAGCAAAATGTATCTCCTTTGAATGTTTAAAGAAGCAGAAAAATTTGATAACTGGTTTAACCAAATAATCTCTGGACTTGACACCAAAATACACTTACTTTCTTTGAAGGCAGCACTTCTACTTGAACACAGATTTACCTTTCTTAATCAATTGTCAATTACTTCCTAACCATTTACAACTTTTTCTAAAACATAAATTATTTTTCAACCCATTGCTGTAAGTAATATAATTTCAAATCAATGAAGCAATTTGATTATATCACAGAATGACCAGTTCATGAAGGCAGGTTCTGTTAAATATATTTTGCTGAAGACTGAAATGAGTGGGGTAAAACATTAAGGTATGTCTCTAATCTAGAGAAAACTTTAAATGATTTTCAAATTATTTCTAACTGTTCTGGGATGAAAGTTTGCCTTCTAAATATTTAAAACCTCTGTGGATGCTTGTTATATATAAGAAACACTGGTAGATACTATAGAAGGATCAGAAAACTCCAGAAGGTACCACATCAACTCCTCAAACTCAGGACTCCATTTAAGGCTTGACATAAAAAGTCAAAGAAAGATGTAAACAACGGCACATTAAGAGAGATGTTATAAGGTACTTTATGAAGTGACTAATTGACAATAAAAATAACAAAGACCTAAGGCATAATTTCACCATGGGCAGATTCCAAGAAGAGAAAAAGTTATACTAAGGACATTTCCATGGGTTGACTTGAACCTTCTACTTACTTTTAATAATAGATTAAGTCTATGTATAAAAATAAAAAAGTGACTAATCAAAGGATACTGAAGGTTTAAAAATAGCTGTTTCCCTAATATTTAAAAAGAAATGGCAAACAATTCAAGCTTCCTTTTACAACTCTCTTTAAAAAAACATTCCACAATCACTCGACAGATAAAAATATTAAAAGGAAAATATGCCTTTATATAAAA